ATATATATGTGTATATAAGGTATTTTTAATCAAATGTTTTTTTACATATATATAATATGTTAATGAATTATATACACGGAGAGAATTTTTTCTTAGAGGTTACCCTGAAAATATGATAGTCGTGGGACAATATTGTGTTTCCAAGAATTTTAATGTAAATCTCCCTCATTCATTAATAAAGTATAAAATAAGTTTGATTAATTTTACTGTGTGAAATGTATGGTAAAAATCTTTAAAATATTGTATTGTACCACAATTATCATATCTTCGGATAATAAATTTTAAAACAAAATTCTCTCCGTATACATAATAAATTACATATATATTATATGTTAATAATTTATGAAGAGTTTTTCCAATATACTATTTTATATTCCAATATACAATTTACTATTTTAGCATTTTAATAGTCAAGTAAAATTTTTTAAGTTTAAAATAATTGGCTTTTTAATATATATTTTTAAGAAAAATGAAATAATTTTTGTGATCATTTTAAATTTATCATGGACTTGTTTTAATAAGAGATATTAAATATCTGAAAAATAAAGCTATTGTTATGTAGTTTTCTTTTAGATATCTTTCTGAAGAAAAATTTTTTTGTATCTTACAAAAATTGCAAATCTATATGATTTACTGAGTATTATTTCTATTATCTATTTATTAAGGATTAAGGAATAAGGTGCTATTTTTTTTACCATAGGCGAAAGCGAAAAGTTGAAAGTCATTGTGCCATAATCAGATTCACGTGGATATAAAATGCATCGTTTTCGATTTTCTTCGTTTTTGCCGACGTTTCTTATTTCAGTGTCGGTCATAAAAGACTTGCTCCTCAGACGTTAGGTGTCCATTCCACTCCATTCTGCTCTCTTCTCAACCATCACATGAAGTTTAAATTAACGCTGTCACCGCAAGGCAAATAATTTCAAGTTGTGCATAATTCAAAGCACGTGAAATTGTGTACATATATGTGTATACGAGTAAAAAATAAAGAGAGAGAGAGAGAGAGAGAGAGAGAGAGAGAGAGAGAGAGAGAAAGAGAGAATATTGTTTTAGTTTTAAATAATTTTTTTAAAGGAATAATTATTTTCGAATTTAATTATATACATAAAACGAGTAAAATCAATACTTATGTGTAATTACAGAAAAAATTATATTAACCTTGTTATCTTTCTTCTTTGTTTTTTTTTTCAGTTGTTAAACATTCTGAAACTACCAAAATTTTTAAGCAAATTTTATTTTATTTTTTGCAATTTGATGCAGAAATATCTAATCAGTCTTGGATTAGCCGTATAATGTTCTATTGACATACTTCATGAGAATTTTTTTTTTCGCATTATAAATCTGGCAGATATAATTATTAAAATGAACGATAAGCAGCGTCCATTCAAATAGTGACTTCGCCACGTCATGTCACGTTGACTTTCTTTCTCTCTCTCTCTCTCTCTCTCTCTCTCTCTCTCTCTCTCTCTTTCGCGGAATATACTCACGCTTATTTACGTAGCAACATAAAGAGAATTTTTCTTCTATTCCACAATCGTCTTTATTTCGTTATAAGAGTGTGCGTATTTTATACTGAGAGAAAATGGGAAGCGATTATATCGCGCGAGAGATTGCGCTGTTAATTTATAATTATATACGATCATAAATCGCATGCTCGCATGGATGAGAAATCATCATAATGAAAGTCAAAATAAACCTTATGCCCGTGAGATCATTCACGTGAGATGAGTGAAGTTCATATCACGATTTCATAGAGTTCCTTGGGATCTATGTAATCATTAACTACATATCCACGCGCAAGATAGGACCTTATTCAGTGCACAAAGGACTGTTAAATTTGAAAAAATTTGTTTTTTTTCACAAAATAAGATATTATATTAATCACAATTTGATAATTTTTTTTACTGAGATAAAATTAAAATCTATAAAATTTTTTAATTTGACTCATTGCTTTTAAAATAAACAACTCGAATAATATTATTTAAAAGTTAATATTGAATAGGAATAGTCTAGCATATTTATCTAGTGTAGTCATTGCTACTTGGAAATCGGTTATTATATATCGATTATATACGGTTACGTTGATTGCATAAATTCCTAGTATAAGGCTGCCTATTTATTTACCGGTGATCGTTTTTTTCGTTAAGTAGATAATTCTATATCATGGAATTATTTTCTTAGCAATTTTATTCTTTGTCGGAATTTGAAGATAGAAGAGTAAAAGAAGGAAGAGAAAAGAATATTAGTTATTAAAAAATTATATATTTGAAAAAATAAGAATATTGCTGATTTTACGCATTTTTTTCGATATATTTTGGTATAGATATGATATTCAGTCAAATTTTTTTTGAATTTTATTAAATTTTATAAAACTTTTTTGAATCTTTTATTAGCTTAGTAATTTAAATTTTATATCAGTAAAGAAAGACAAATTTGTATATGTTATGTATATTTGATATTTTATAACACTCTATAAAATGTTATTGTTTGTCTATTATGTGTTTGTCATTAAAATTAAATTATACAATCCTGATTGAAACTACTTGTGCATCCTTATCTGAATAATCATAAAAAAGATTTATTTATTATTTTCTGATCACCAATAAATAGATTTTACAATTTATTTGTATTATTATTTTTCTCTTTTGACAAGATCACTATCTCTATTCAGCATCTTTTTTATCTTTCTTATATCTTCTTGATATTTCTTGATGCGATATGGTTTTATACGTTTTATAGGTATACACATTCCTGTATCTGAACGCGCAGCAATCTGAGAAGGGTTCACCCCTTCGTCGACTTCCTTTTCAAGTCTTTCTCGAAATCTCACGAGTCTCTCGCAGAGCCGGTTGCCTTTATTATCTATCTCTCTTTATCTATCTCACCCTCGTAGGGAAAACAGATTGCTCGCGCTCCTTGATATATGTTCCCCTGGGACAACAAGAAGAGGAGGGATCAGGTAGGAACAGGTAGAAAATGGTCGCCAAATGGTATGAACTCACCGTCGTATTTCATTTACGCATGCCTCGTGAACTTTGGGTTCGCTGTATCATCCAGCGAACCTTTATCCGGGATCTGGCCTAGTTAATTCGCTTTGATTAAAAATGTGACAGATCGGTAGAATTTAAGAAAAAGAAAGAGAATTGAGTTATCTCTCTCTCTCTCTCTCTCTCTCTCTCTCTCTCTCTCAAACTGTAAAAGTGCCTTTTCATACTGACATTCATTTTCAGCATTAAAATAGATCACATGATCAAAATTGGTGCTTGATATTTGTTAATTTTTATTTTGACGCCGAAAATGAGCGTCAAGCGTTGACATGAAAAGATACCTCAAGATTGATACTTTTTGATTGAGCTTTGCAAAATTCTTGCGATCTGAAAAAATTTGCAAAATGTTTTTTAAGTTTTATAAAAGTCCTAAAGAAAGATTAGGACATCAGACATATAAGCTGTAACGAACATATTGGATGTGAACATATATATGATTTCTAAATTTCGATTTTTGATTTTAGATGATCATAGGAGAATATCTGCACGGGAGGAATTTCTCCGGACACACGGCGAATATGCTTTTCGGATATACTATACCTCCATGGTTATGGAATGCTTATAAGAAAGTAAGTTTTTTTAATTTTAAAAATTAAGTAAAATTAATTAATATTTTTATCAAAATTTTTTCTGAACTTTTTAATCTTTACGAATTAAAAATTATTAAAGTTTAATCCTCGTCAATTCGTATCTTTCTATAGAAATAATATAAACTAATTATAAAAAATAATATAAAAAATAATGTTTGCAGGTTGGTGTATTTGGTTTCGGTGCTGCTTGTACCGTTTTAATCACCGATATTGCTAAGTATACTATAGGTCGACTACGGCCACACTTCATGGAGCTCTGCGTACCCAATATTGACTGCAATTTGCTCGAGTATCAACACAAGTATATCGTGGATTTCCACTGTACCGCAGCAGTCTCGAATAAGCTTCTAAAGGAAGTCAGGTAAGAGATCTGATGTGAGAAACATTCCTGAATTTCTCATCAGCTTAAAAGGAGATAGAGTATCTTAATCTGCTGCAACATGAATATTATCTGGTCTCTCCATCGTAATCCTGCGTGTCTCTCTACTGTCATATAATATTGTATTTTGACATAATTATATATTTTTTTCATTTATAATAATATAATTATAAATTTTAAAAAATTATAAATATTTCATGTTTTCCGTATAAAAAATACAAATATACTAAAAAATTTTGAATAATAAATAACTTCAATAATTTTAGGCAATAAAAATTGAATTCTGAAGTTATGGAAAGTAATTAAATATATTAAGTGTGTCAAATACATACATATTTATTAAATATGTGAAATAATTAATAGTCTTGCGATTTTCTGCATTAAAAGATCAATTTTATTAGATATACAATATTAATCATACTAGGGAGGTAAAATTATCCTTTCTTTTAAAATTACAAATATATACATATTTGATCGGGAAGAAATTGTTTTCTCTTTATACTGACTACTATGGATTATAACGTGAATTTGTTTATGGTAAATCGATAAAGTTTTTAAGTTAATTGTACCTGACAATATGGCCTGAGCCATATCATACGTCATAGATGTAAGCAATGCACAAACTTTGACGTATGATGTGGAATTTATGTATATTTGCCGTATCTCTTGATAACATGCTATCACGTGCTATATAAGCAAAACGTCATATGCCAAAGTTGTGGGCTGCTTACGTCTACAACTTAAGTCTGTCGTAAGTGTTACGGCAATCCTTGTGCTCAGACCCTTATATTTGGTTTTGATCTACACACATATCGCATGCCCTCCGCAATTTTACTCTCGATATGATCGGCAGCAACCAATTGACATCAACGAATCTTCAGGGCAATACTCTGAAATGATAATGTTCGCGATGATGTGAGACAAGCTGCTTAGATTGCGTGACGGTAACAATTGTGCCAGCAATTATTGGCGAGGCGTATGATTGAACGAAGAAGCGAGAAGCGTATTTCATTATTTTATTTCATTAATAGTCTGCGGACTTTGCGCTTATGCAGACAGGTTTATGAAACACGAGACCAAATGATAATTTGTGGCAATCTAAGAGAGCAAACTCTGAAGAAGAAGGACGGAAAAGAAATGATCACAATTGTCTTTTAAATCGATATGCCGATATTTAACTCTCATTATTATCAGTCATTTACTCATTTATCCTGCTTATGTCTTATCGAGTTATTTGTATGCATTCCTTTTAATTATAGTGATTGTAGTATTGTGCATATTCATTGTTGTAGACTAAAATTCTAAAAAATAAAATATCAAAAAATTAGATTTTTTGAGAGGAAGAACAAAAAATATGAATCTTTGAATTTATTATATAAACTTATTTTTAACAAAGAAAGATAAATAAATGAAAAAAATTTTCGCTTATATCATAAAAATAATCATTATTTTTTAGTAGAAAAATTAATAAAGAAATTCATATTTAAAAGAATCTTAAAAAATATTTTCAAAAAAATTGAAATAGTACGAAATTGTTTCAATTATTTTATTAATATTGCAAAGAGATGGAAATTTTTCAAAATTATAAGAATTAAAATAATCTTAAATTTTAATTGAGAATTTTTTAAACAAAAACTAAAATTTATTTCAGTAAATTATATCTGAAAAACATCTTGTTTACGTTGCGTTAAGCATTATTAAAATTGAGTAGAATTCAAGATTTTACGACATTTCCTGAATTGACTATTTCACGTATGCGAGCTTTGTGTTTAGTCAGCTAGGGAAACCTTTTTGCGCATTCCGGATATATTACGTATACGTATCACCCGAAGGCCGGTTTTAACGGACATACAAGCGCGCGTACAAAAAGAGCCACGGTAGCGAATGACAATGAGCAGCACTCTGCCTGTGGACTTCGCCGACACGATTCACATGAGCGAGATTCATGCCAGATCGTGAAATTCTTTCTTTTCTTTTCTCTCTCGCCTTGGTTAACGGAAATGCTGTTACACGCTTGAATTATTCGCGTATGTATCCTGCTTATTGTTGTTAGCTACAATAGCGATCGACAATTCGAAACTCGTAATGCAAAAGCGAATATAATCAATTATAATGAAAAAGTTTACCATCACCGTCTTTCAAAACTCTTTCAATTTAACTAGATTTTTTTCATTTTGGAAAATTTTTACAGTTTATTAAATACTATTGTTAATTTTCATCGCGACTATAGGATAAGATTATAGGATAAGACTATAGGATAAGAAATATAACATAAATATTTTCATGAATTCACGAGGAACTAGTTTAGCACTAAGTTTAGCACTTTATATTGCAATTTTAATAGAAATATAGATGAAGTATATAAAAAACTCTCAGCCACTCTTCTTTTTGTATGTCTGTAAAATTTGCGTCTTTGATTTATCTAACAATAAACGCGGAACGCGAATAGCCAAAGACGAAATGCAGAAAGTTCAAAGTAAAAAGTTCGCGAAACGTGCTTAGGGCTTAGGACATGTAGGCACGCGTGAATTTGAGAAGACGTGCGAAGAATTACATACGACTTATTATTAGAAATAACTCTGAACCCGTCAACATTCTAACGCGTATGTCATTATCTTTTACAAGTCCGGAAAATACACGCACATTAGAAATAAACGCAAACCTACGACTCGTGAAATTGATTTAACGTGACGGATTACACTCGGATGTTGGATACTGGTCAGAGATAGTAGAAAGGAAAATGTTCCTGTAAATCAGACTTTCTCGAAAGACGACTGTCGATATTTATTATTAACTTTAATTACCATTCTTTTTATTTCAATGGAGTCAAAGAGCAACAATGATTTAATCGGTTTTAAATTTTACATTAATTAAAAAATTCAATATTGAAATATTTTATTTTTAATGTAACATTTTACCTATATGGGATGTTAAAAAAACCATTCAACATTTATATCCCAGTAAAAAGTTTTTCATGCATGAATATGTATAATTTTATATATATCTATAAACATTACATAAACACTTATAAATATTCATAAACATACAGATGAGATATATACATGAATGTTCATACATCCCTCTTTTTTTTTGTAAAATTACTTTTTAATGGAATAACAATAATAATAATAATAATGATATGAAAACATAAAAAATAATTAAAGAAATAATTTTCGCATTGTTCGTTAAAAAAAAAA